ATGTGGGATCCGAACCCTCGGCGGGAGCGCTGCCGCGCTTCCCAAGCAGCGCACTAGCGCAGTGCGCCACCGGGCCAGCCCTGCTGTGTCTTTCTTGCTTTTTTATTTATTTGTTTATTTTCTTAGCTCCCACTTGTGAGTGAGGATTTAGTCACCTCATATTGTACACAGGTATTGATATTCAACTCTGTACCCCACAAATACACATAATCAATTATGTTTCAATTAAAAGAAAAGAGCTGCATGTTGTGTGTTTTTATTATGACATTAATTGTTCAATATACTAAACCAATCCCTTTTTTCCTCTGATTGAAGGTTTGGTTTAAGAATAGGAGAGTCAAGTGGTGCTGATAACACCAAGGTCAAGCGTTCGGATTCCCATACTGGCCAGCCACTGAAAACAAAAACAAAACAAAACAAAATAGGAGGATCAAGTGAAGAAGATGTCAGAGGGCATTAATGTTCAGAAATATGCCCTCTGTTGCCCTGGGCCACCCTGTGGTTTTAACCTTGGATGGGCCCTATAATGCCATCCTTGTTCTGGAGCTTGATTGGAGAGGGGTTCTTCTGGAGCCACTGTCACCCACGCCACGCAGGCCTCTTCTGCCTTTATCTTCCTTTGACCTGGCTTCAGTTGTCCTGGAATGGGCCTCTATCATTAGCAGTCATTTTGTAGTTCCTCTTCTAAGGTTCTATGGATTGTATGTGTCCTCCAAAGGTACACGTATTAGAAACTTAATCCCCACTGTGACAGTGATAAGAGGGTGAGAAATCCAGTTATGGTGTTTGAAAGGTGGGGCCTTTAAGAGGTGATTAGATCATCAGGACTGTTCCCTTATGAATGGACTCATCCATTCACTGCGTAATGGGCTTGGTTCTGATAGCTTTAAAAGGAGAGCAAGTGAGGAAATGTGCCCTCTTGCTCAGCCATTCTCACCATGTGATACCCTGCATTGCTGTGGAGAGTCACCACCCAGAAGAAGGCCCTCACCAGATGTGTTCCCTGGACTTTGGACATCCCAGCCTCCAAACTGTAATAAGTAAATTTTATTTCTTTAATATATTACTCGGTTTCAGGTATTCTGTTATAAGCAACAGAAATGGACTAATACATAAGGTATAGTCTTCATGACAGTTTGTCCAAAGTGTTTTTCCACCACATTCTAACTGTGCATAGCACAACATCAAGAGCAGTTCACCAAATGCCTGGTAAATGAGTTGAATATACTAACAAATTCAATGCCCCATTTTTTTGGTGGGGCATGTTTTTGTATTTTTCAATAAAGAGGTGAATTTTCAATCTGTTTTTAAGCATCAAATGGATGGGAATTTCTGAGGGAATGCCATTCAAACAGAATGGGGAGGAGGCCTCTTTTCATGAGGTGACATCTCTGAATCACCACTAATAGACCTGTGCACATCACAAAAGTTTTCCAAGTGCCCTTGGTATGTTTACACTGACCCCTACTTTTTCTCCTCTGCCCTCCATCACTCCATCCTCACCCTCACCCTTTGGGACCATGTACATGTACAAGAGGGGGCAGGGTGAGTCCCTAGTGAGAGAACTATGTCTTCACACAGAGCAGAGCCCCATCCGTGCTAATATGCACGTTCTGGCCCAACACTGGACTCTAGTGGGAAACTCCCTAAGAGGCTACTCACAGGGCTTTATGAGAAGGTGGCAGCTGATCATTCATCTACTATGTTCCAGGTTCTGTTCACTTCCCCTCCCTTTTTGTGGAGGTCATAGGGGAATAGGAGCCATTCTGACCCAAAGGTCCCATTGCTTCAACAGAAACATGAGAGGTGCCTCCATCAAAGCCAGAACGAGGCTCTTATCCCTTTTCTCCCCCATTCCAGGGCAGGGGAGCATATTATTGTACCTTCTCCAACTCAAAACAGATAATCACGCCTTCAAATGTATTTTGTTGCTTTCATCATCCTTAAGAGAACCTAATTTCTGCTAATTAAAAAGAGAAAGGGAATCTTTTGGTTTAGTGCCACTTGAAGCAAGAAGGAGATGGTCCCCCAAGCAATTATCCAGAATAATCACCCACTGGAAAGAAGCAGTCATTTATTCATGCTGTTTTCTTCATGTGAAACTCCCAGGGTAGACAACAACAGAAACAAAATCAGGGTGGTGAAGGAGGCCGGGCTCACTTTTTAAAAAGCATTAAGTTCTTCTCAGTAGAACCTTTGCTTTTGAGCAATCTAGCAATTCAAGTCTTCTTTAAGGTAGTTTGCTGTTAATAAGGGCCAAGGAATGACCTGGTCCTGCCCAAGGTTTCCCAGTGGACTGAAGGGATAAAGTGGTGGGAGAATTGAATCATCACAATGCATACAATAGCACAGCGATGCTGAACTCCAAAATACCTGCAGTGTAGCAATCACACTATATTTACATTGGGAGCAGCAGATCAGTTTCAGAAAAATATCATCCGTCAATTAAACTTATTTAAGAAATTTGAATTATATTTTGAGTCAATTCTGTCATTCTGTTTGAATTTCATTTTAAAATTTATTGTAGAGGAGTTCCGGTCAAGATGGCAGAGTAGTTGGTTCTTGGTGTTGCTCTCTCCCACAGAGCGACCAATTTGCAGCTATTGGGGAGCAGCCACAGAGGACCTGAGATCTGCACTGGAGCAGATGGGAGCCGCCCACCATGGGAGCCCAGTTCAGGTTGCTTCCCATTCCATAGAGAGACTTTAGAGCTTCTGGGCCCACATGCCCTGAGCCTACCAGGCCAAAGAAAGCAGGTGGGGCAGGACTTCCAGCCCAGGCTGGTCCCACTTGTTGATTAAAATGATTGGAGACGCAAAGGAAGACACAGCAGACGAGATACAGGTGAAGAGCGGGGGGCCACTGCTCTCTCAGGCGAGTAGCGCCGACCCAGCCACTGTGACAGCTTTTATTACATTTAGCAAGCTTGTACATGCAAGATAAGCATTAATGCATAAATTCTGTTACAATTTTCTCAAGAGCGGAAGGCCATTCCCTCCCTTCTCAAGCACTTGGTTATCTATAATGTGCCTCCTGGGAACATCCCAAGAAAGTGTTCTCACAACTTCAAGTGTTCTCAACGATTGTTTGCAATCCTTGACATTTCTTGGTTAACTCGTTTGCGAGTTCACCAAGTGAACACGTCCTTGGGTGCTGACCACAAAAGTCCATTAACCATTTCCTTCATCTCCCCCTTTTTGTTTTTGCCATTTGCGGTTTAACGTTTTAGCAAAGACTCAGCTACATATTGTAAGAAACCAGCAGCAGGAGAGTCCTGCCGTGGTCAGTTAAGTTTTACTGGTAACCAAATGCCAATTCTTGCCTTCAGGATATATAAATTATCTTTAGAAAAATTAATGTTCATGGTATGATTTAAACAAGTATATAATGAACAATTACCTAAACATTTTATCTCACCAGTGGTTTGGTTCCAATTAATTTGTCCAATCATCATTAAATAAGGTAATCGTACACAACTGTGAACATATATGAAACCGTTTACAGTGAAGTTTAAGGAATAGTTTGATGAGGAATTAATACCTCCAATCCATGTATGTAAAGGATATAAAGATGCAATCATAATAATATATAGGTTGTTGTAGTGGTTCACTAGATACATGTGCCCATTGTCTTTCAACTGGTGTTGAATTTTCTGCATTTCTATTCAAAAAATCATGAGAAAATAGAGCTTGGACTATTTGTCATCTTGGGGATTCCATATAGTCTCTCCCTTTTTGTTTTTGTAATAAAGATTTAAGTGTTCTATTATGCCGTTCAACAACGGCTTGACCTGTAAAATGTTTGATATTATAGGCTTGGAAAAATAACTGACATTTCTGAGATAAATGTGAAGGGGCATTGTCCGTTTTTAACCATATAGGAATCCCCATGACAGCAAAGGCCTCCAAGAGATGAGAAATAACTGCATCAGCACGCTCAGCTGCCAACAGTGTTGCCCACATAAAACCTGAAAAAGCATCCACAGAAACATGAACATATTTCAATCAAATTCAGGAACAATAGTAACATCCATTTGCCATAACTGTAAAGGAGCATTCCCATGGTCGTTGGCCCCGGCCGATAAAGGAACTGCATCTAATTTTTGACATATGGGGCATTGTTGTACTATCGCACGGGCTTGAGTTCATGAAATATGATAATCATGATGGAAAGAGCGAGCATTGCAATGAAAATGGGAATGAGCCTCAGTGGCCTGCAAAACAGAACCTACAAGAGTATCGATTAGTGCATTACCTTTACTCAACGGTCCAGGCAAATTGGTATGAGCGCGAATGTGCGTGACAAAAAGAGGTGAGGAACGGGAGCGAATAACTTGCTGCAGTAAGTGAAATAAAGCATGTAATTCATTAGAATCAGAAGGAACAGTAACAGTTTCTATAGTTTGTACCACTTGGACAGCATATTGAGAATCTGAAAGAATATTTAAAAGAATATCTCCTACATCAATTAAAAGTAAATATATAGCATATAATTCAGCTTTCTGAACCGAAGTATAAGGACTTTGAAGGACTTTATGGTTTACTGTGTCCGTATATCCTGCCAGGCCAAAATTGTTAGCATCTGTGAAATAAGCTTTTGCATTAGATATAGGAGAAAATGTAACACAATGAGGAAGGATCCAAGACGTTCTCTGCAGAAATTGAAGCATCTTATGAGAAGGATAATGAGATGTAAAACTTCCTAAAAATTCACTAACAGCCAATTGCCAACGTACATTCAAAGCATACAAGGATTGTATCTCTCTGTGAGACAAAGGCAGTACAATAATACAAGGATCTTGACCAGTTAACTGACGGAAACAGAGCCGTCCTTTAGTAATCAAAACAGAAATTTTATCTATATATATCTCCAATGATTTAGTAGTTTTATGCGGAAGAAAAAGCCATTCAATAATATTATCTTGTTGTAGTAACACACCGGTGGGTGAATGAGGCGTATGAAAAATCACAAGTCGTAAATTTGTATAGTCAGTAATTCTTTGCAATTGAGCTTGTTGGATAATATTTTCCAATTGTTGTAACTCAGATTCAGCTTCTTGGGATAACACTCGAGGGCTATCCAAGGTTGGATCGCCCTCTAGTGTTGAAAATAAATTATGCAAGGCATATGTTGGGATATCCAATGAACGGTGAAGCCAATTTATATCTCCCAATAACTTTTGAAAATCATTTAAAGTCCGCAATGAATCCCTTCAAATTTGTACCTTTTGGGGAATAATGATTTATTCAGTAATCTTTTGTGCTAAATAAGAAAAAGGAGGCTGTGATTGAATCTTATCCTCCGCAATTAAAAGACCAAAATTCTGAAGTGTGGCATGAATAATCTAACAATTCTGGGCAAGAAAAAGTTGGAGGCATAGCAATTAAAATATCCATATAATGAATAAATTTCAAATCCAGAAATTGAACCCATAAAATCTCCGAGCTTGCTCATTACTAATTTCTCTTTTGACAGCAACATGAAGCCGAGCCAAAAAATTAGTATAGGGTTCATTAGGACCTTGCATTATCTTAACAAAAGTTTGGCGGGATTGTCCTGAGTCTTGAATCCACTGCCAAGCCATAAGGCAAATTTCCTTTAATTGGGCAAGGGCAGCAGGGTTCATTTGACATTGCTGTTTAAGATCAGCCCAGGCACCAGTACCTGTAAATTGTTCCACATCAGGCCCTCCATTACGCTGATAAGCGTTTAGGCGAGACACCCTTTCTGCTTCATCTCGCCACCATGATTTAAATTGTATGTATTGAGGAGATTCCAAAGTTGTACGAGCAAGCATTTCCCAATCTTTTGAGATAAGTAAATTGTCCTCAGCAAAAGACATTAAAAGTCCAGTAACATAAGGGGAGGTAATACCATAAGTACTAACAGCCTGCTTAAGTATCCTTAAATATTGAAAACTGACAGGATCATATTGCACTTGAAAAAATCCATTAGGAAATTCTTCATTAGTAGGCATTTCCTGTCTTAAAATGGGAAAATTAAAAAATCCATTAGGAAATTCTTCATTAGTAGGCATTTCCTGTCTTAAAATGGGAAAATTAAAAAATCCATTAGGAGGCATGTAAGGAAGAGTCTTTTGGGGAACCCCTGAATCAGCATCTAATATAATCTTTGTCATTTGAGGCAAATTTGGAAATTTAAAAATACTATGTGGAATGCCAGGGGCAGAAGCAGACGGAGGGACTGATTTCTGCTGTACAACAGGGAAAGCTTGTGCATCCTGTAAGCAAGCCTCCAGCTTTTGAATAAGATCATCCAAAACATCCAATTTTGGATTGTCAGTGGTCTTAGGTAATGGTGGGTATGATTTAGATTGAATCAGACATTTCTCTTCTAATTCAGGTATTGGAATCTCAGTGTCATCATCGGAAAAATCAGAATGATCATCAGATTCTGAATTGGGTATGGGAGGGGCAGAAGGCTCAGGAGGAGTATCATGTATATCTGAAGAAAAAATTTTCTTTTGTGGCTTTACTGAATCAGATTGAGAATGCTGGCTGCTATCATCTGAATCAGATTGAAAAGGTTGTAAGGCTAAAGCCACCATGTTAGAAGCTGCCCATTCCTCTGCCGATATAACTTCTCCAGCCTGATGAGCTCTCCATAAAGTTTTACTGACCTGCCTCCAAATTTTTTAATCAAATTGGTTCTTATTGTCTGTAGTAAACCAATAGCAATGTTTCTGTATCTTTTTTAATAATGAAAATAAAACCTTCTCTTAATTTTTAATCCTGAAGCAGTCAACAATGATTTCAATACTGCCATATAATCACTTAACACTGACGGGGAATTCCCCATTATGCCCCGACTCTAAATTTCCCGAAGAGATGGCATAACTCTTCGCCGTCAGTAAAAAACCTCCTCGTTCCCTTCTGTTCCCGTGTCTTACCTTTCATGCCCCACGTTGGGTACCAGATGTTGATTAAAATGATCAGAGACGTGAAGGAAGACACAGCAGATGAGATGCAGGTGAAGAGCGGGGGGCCACTGCTCTCTCAGGCAAGTAGCACTGACCCAGCCACTGTTACAGCTTTTATTACATTTAGCAAGCTTGTGCATGCAAGATAAACATTAATGCATAAATTCTGTTATACTTTTCTCAAGAGCAGAAGACCGTTACCTCCCTTCTCAAGCACTTGGTTATCTATAATGCGCCTCCTGGGAACTTCCCAAGAAAGTGTTCACACAACTTCAAGCGTTCTCAAGGATTGTTTTCAATCCTTGACATTTCTTGGTTAACTCGTTTGCAAGTTCACCAAGTGAACACATCCTTGGGTGCTGACCACAAAAGTCCATTAACCATTTCCTTCACCCACTGCAAAGAGAGCTATAACAGCCTTGGGGCTCCCACACCCTGAGCCAGCTGAGCCAGAGAAAGCAGGCAGTCTGCGAATTCTGGCTCAGGCTGTCCCTGCCGCCAGGAGAGTCCTAAGAGACTCGAGGACCTGACACCTCGAGACAGCCATGCTGGAGAATGTAAGCAGGGCGGGACTTTCGGCCCAGGCAAGTTTTTGCTGCCCAGAAGCAGCAGTCCCTTCAGGATCCAAGTGAGACATCACAGTGAAATGAGTGGACTGTGATATCTGTGGCCACAATGACAAAACACCAAAGGAAAGATACCAGAAATATGAAAAATCAAGAAAGTATATCACCATGAAAGGAAATTAATAACTCTCAAGTGCTAGATCCTATAGAACAGGAAGTCTTTGAAATGACAGACAAGGAATTCAAAGTAACTATTCTAAGGAAACTAAATGAGATACAAGAAAATTCAGACAAAACAAAGAAATGAGAAAAAATATAATGGATCTGAAATAAGAAATGTACAAAGAAATCAATGCCTTGAAAAAGAATGTAGCTGGGGGCCGGCCCAGTGGCGCACTGGATAGTGCGCCGCTTGGGAAGCGCGGCGGCGCTCCCGTCTGAGGGTTCGGATCCCACATACAGACCGGCTCCCGCTCACTGGCTGAGCGAGGCGTGGGAGCAACGCCGAGGCTTCCCGTCCGAGGGTTCGGATCCCACATACAGACCGGCTCCCGCTCACTGGCTGAGCGAGGCGTGGGAGCAACGCCGAGGCTTGCGATCCCGTTGCCAGTACCCGGTCCGGTACGGGGGCAACACTGAGGGTTGCGATCCGTTGCCGGACACGGAAAAAAGACAAAAGACAAAAAAAAAAAAAAGAATGTAGCTGAACTTGTGGAGCTGAAGGATTCATTCAGTGAAATAAAAAACACAACAGAGAGTTTAACCAGCAAAATTGAACAAGCAGAAGAGAGAATTTCTGACTTTGAATAGAGGCTGTTTGAATTAATGCAGGCAGACCAGAAAAAAAGAATCAAAAAAGTTCAAGAAAATCTAAGAGAGACAACTGACAGCCTTAAGCACTCACACATCCAAATCATGGGTATTCCAGAATGGGAGGAAAAAGGAAATGGCATTGAAAACATATTCAATGAAATAATAGCAGAAAACTTCCCAGGTATAGGGAAAGTCACAAGTCTCCAGATTCAGGAAGCCCAAAGATCACCAAACACATTCAACCCAAAAAGGTCCTCTCCAAAATATGTGATAATCAAACTGACAAAACTCAAAGACAAAGAGAGAATCTTAAAAGCTGCAAGAGAGAAGCAGCAAGTCACCTATAATGGAGCCCCAATCAGAATAACATCAGACTTTGCATCAGAAACCCTAAAACCTAGAAAGGAATGGGAGGATATATTCAAAACACTAAAGGACAAAAATCGCCATCTAAGAATACTTTACCCAGCAAGGCTATCCTTCTGAAATGAAGGGCAAATAGTATATTTCTCAGACAAACAAAAACTGTGGGAGTTCACTACTACACAACCAGCCCTATGAGAAATTCTCAAGGAAGTACTGGGTTTGATACCACAAAAACAACCATCACTGCCATGAATACACAAGAAAGAACAATATCTACCAGCAAAACAAAAATGCTAACAAAAGAGAGAAAAAAAGTTTATCAATCACCCTAAGAAACCAACAAATACAGAAGACAAACAAAATTAGAAAGAAAAGAACAAAAGATACCTAAGACATCTAAACAAAAATCAGTAAAATGCTAGAAGTAAATCAACACCTTTCAAGAATAACTCTAAATGTAAAGGGATTAAATTCCCTATTCAAAAGACACAGCCTGACTGACTTGATTTAAAAGATGGACCCAACAATATGCTGTCTTCAAGAGACTCACTTGACCTGTAAAGACACACATAAACTAAGAGTGAAAGGACATAAAATGATATATCATACAAATAGAA